TAGCAGAGCTTGAAAACTGTGCTTTTTTGTCGACAACACAAACGTTGTCAACATAACTCACTGGAACTCCAAAATGCTTCCACACCGGCGACTTCATTGTAAGAGGAGAGGGTTTAAGTTCTGTCGATGCGTCTCCTGCATCTGCAGTTTAACAAGCACTTCAACAAGCCTGTTTTTTTCCCGCTTGGCAAGCCAATATGACGTGACATGGGGGCGTGGCAGCATCAACGATTCTATTTTTTGATTCGATAATCGAAATTTATGCTCAATTAAGAATCGAAATCGTGACACCCCTAATGTTTACCGACTAACAATTTTAAAATATGTTGTGTACATGTCTGATGAAGGTCATGGGACCAAAATTATATATAATAAATGATTCATTCAGCAATAATTGATATTGTGTGGGATTCTTTGTTTTCCTTTAGCACATTTTTACATGCTTATTTCTCCCATGCACCTATAGTTGCTTCAGGTGTGCTGAGTTTACTTGATTAAGCGTTCCTGAATTTAAGAAAGTCCTAAATTCCCCTTTCATGCTTTTAAAAACATGAATAAATGTAATAATAAAAATAATAATTCCCTACATTTATATATTGCCTTTCTGAACACTCAAAGCGCTTTACACATTTTTGGGGGGAAATCTCCTCATCCGGCATCAGTAGGCAGCATCCACCTGGATACTGCGACGGCAGCCATATTGTGCCAGACTACACACCAGCTGATTGGTGGAGAGAAGACAGAGTGATGAAGCTAATTATGATATGGGGATGGTTAGGAGGCCATGATGGATAGTGCAGGGGGCAAATTTGGCCAGGATGCCGGAGTTAAAGCCCTATTCTTTTTTAAAGGACATCCTGGGAATTTGAATGACCACAGAAAGTCAGGACCTCGGTTTAACCGTGCTCACTGAGTACATAGTATAGACTCCCCATCAATATACTGGGGCGTTAGGACCCACGCAGATCACAGGTTGAGTGCCCCCTGCTAGCCATACTAACACCACTTCCAGCAGGAACCTAGCTTTCCCATATATACTGACCGGGCGCAGCCCTGCACAGCTTCAGTGGGCGACCATGAGAGGTTGCAGAGAGTTAGCTGCCGGCTAATATGCTTCCCTAAAAACAAGCACATCCCCTTCTGCAAAAGTCACATTACATGATTTTCCCTGATTTCCACATGAAACTGAGCTTTGCAAAAGAATGAATGTGGACCGATGCAAAGGGGAGAGAAATGACACAATAATTGTTTAAATCTCGATTAACGTTGTCATAATCAAGCCACAATTGAAATTGAAAATATGCAATGCCTCTGTAAACACTACCTGACAAAAGTCTTGTCGTCAAATCCCAATTGTAAGAGCAAGAAAAGTGGACCCAAGATTCTCACAGAAATTGGATTGGATTGGCCAGCCCAATCATCAGACACAAACATTATTGAGCACGTCTGAGGTAAGAGGGAGGAGGAGGCATTGAAGATTAATCTAAGGAATCTTGATGAACTCTGGGATTCCTGCAGAAATGCTTTCTTGGCCATTCCAGATGACTTTATTAATAAGTGATTTGAGTCATTCTTTTCATTGAGTCACTTTTGTCAGGTACTGTACACTTTCTTTGGGACAGATTAATTGATTTTTGTTCAATCCACTTAAATTAGTAAAAACGATTATGTTAACTTAGTTTGTGTTGAGAAAACACAAGGGGCGCTGTCGCACGAACACGATGCAGACGCGTTTATAGTAAGCTCCTCACAGCCCTGCTGAAAAATCCAGCTTAAACCAGCCTAGGCTAGTTGGCTGGTTTTAGCTGGTTGACCAGGCTGGTTTTAGAGAGGTTTTGGTCATTTTCAGGCTGGTTTCCAGCCATTTCCAGCCTGGTCTTAGCTGGTCAGGCTGGGAGATGACCAGCTAAAAACAGCTTGACCAGCCTAGCTAAGCTGGGAGTCCAGGTAAAACCAGCTATCTCCAGCTTAAACCAGGCTGGTCAAGCTGGTTTTAGCTGGATTTGGCTGGTCATTTTCCAGCCTAACCAGCTAAGACCAGGCTGGAAATGGCTGGAAACCAGCCTGGAAATGGCCAAAACCCCTCTAAAACCAGGCTGGTCAACCAGCTAAAACCAGCCAACCAGCTTAGGCTGGTTTAAGCTGGATTTTACAGCAGGGCGATGATATTTCATTCATTCATTCATTCATTCATTCATTCATTCATTCATTCATTCATTTATTCATTCATTCATTCATTCATTCATTCATTCATTCATTCATTCATTTTCTTGTCGGCTTAGTCCCTTTATTAATCCAGGGTCGCCACAGCGGAATGAACCGCCAACTTATCCAGCAAGTTTTTACGCAGCGGATGCCCTTCCAGCCGCAACCCATCTCACACACACATTCACACACACTCTCATACCCTACGGACAATTTAGCCTACCCAATTCACCTGTACCGCATGTCTTCGGACTGTGGGGGAAATCGGAGCACGCGAACATGCAAACTCCACACAGAATCGCCAACTGAGCCGAGGTTCGAACCAGCGACCCAGCGACCTTCTTGCTGTGAGGCGAACGTGCTACCCACTGCGCCACTGCAGTTATTTGAAGTTATTTTCAAACTTTCTTTTGCTATAATACAGGTTATACATACATACGGACAGTAAATTTGTGGATATGGTGTGTAGAATGGCTGCTCCTGGCAGCAAACGAGGTAGCAAAGAGATGCGAGCTAATACAGCTAACGTTAGCTCGGCTGACTCACGATAGAGAATCACTTTCAGCTGAAATGTTTAAACAATCGCTGGACCCTTTGAAAAATGACATTTGTATTAAAATTGAAAGTGCGATCAGCGGTCTACAATCAGATATCAACGGAGTGAAGGAAGAGTTGACTTCAGCTGTTGCCACAATTCAACAATCGCTTGGCTCGCAGGAGAAGCGGCTGAGAGCTGTCAAGGATTCGGCGACAGCAACAAGCAACTCTCTAATGTATCTTGAAACTACCGTGGCTAAATCCAGACTGAGGTTACGGCACTGTCTTTAAAGTGTGAAGATTTAGAGAAAACATAAAGGAAATGTGTGGAATCTTGATTTTTTTTACACTATACAAAAAGCAATACTGGAAATAAACAATTGGAGTTGAATTTCAGAACAGATCCAGAACAATCTATCTTTTAAAGTACTATCAAAAACCAGAAAAGTCAACAGTTCTTTTAAAGCACAATTGACGGATATAATCTCACAGCTCATACTGAATAGTGAGATTTCGGTAGAGTTCTGTCAGGGCACAGCATAAGAGAAAAACCAAACAGTCGCTAAAATACACACATCTTCAAAAGCTTCCCGGCGTTGTTACCTCAAGTCATCCGGATTATATTTACTTTTGAAAAACCAACATATTTCTGCACGAAAGCCGCAGCGCGCAACAGTAGCCAGCTAAACGCTTGAAAACATGTTCGTCTGTTTGACAAAACGGGGATCGCCGCCAATTAATAACATCTGCGGCAATGAAAACAAGCACCTAACCTGGCCCTCATTACCAAATAACCGAGGGCAGAGAGTTGGGGATGGAAAGCGATACTCTGCATAGACTGCGAGACGGGGAGGACGGCAGCCAAAGCCGGCGGTTCAGGGGAGTCGGTGTTGAGAGCAGCCTAGAGGCTTATCTTCAAGTCAAATCCCTTCACACACACACACAAATACACATTCAATCCACACAGACTAGACTACAGATAATAAAGCCCCCAAGACACTGACACAGACTGGCCTGAACGCCGCTCAGATGCTTACGGTCTCAGATGAACCCTGGTGTGGCGGTGCAGTAGTACAGATGGACAGATAAACAACAGACATCCATTCAGCCATATTCTGGTATCTTTCTCCAGTAAAGGAAGTGCACTGTGAAGGTCTGGAGTCGCTTCTGGAACATTACTTTAGAGCAGTGGTCACCAAGCTTTTTAAGCTCAAGATCTCGAACCTTGGTCTTGAACAAGATCTGCGTGATGTGCGCTTTCAGTGTTTTGGTGTAGACCAGGGGTCTCAAACTCGCGGCCCGCGGGCCATTTGCGGCCCTCAGTGCAATATTTTGTGGCCCGCGCCGACCGCTGTACTCTGACAGAATCAGCGGAGCGGGGAGAGAGAGCGCTCCCCTCTCCGCTGATTCTATCCGTACACAGCGCGCTTGTCACTCAATGCGCGTTGTCGCGCGCGTTCTGATCAGCTGTGTTGTCGCGCGCGTACTCAAGAGCGGTGTTATCGCGCGCGTACTCAAGAGCGGTGTTATCGCGCGCCTACTGAAGGGCGGGACCGAGGGTGTGTCGCGTCGCGGGGGCACTTTTGATCATTTTGGAAGGGCACTTTCTATGCAAGACTAAAAAGGGCATGTGCTCTGCACAGGTTGAGCCCTATGTGTGAACGTGCCTGCCCTGCATCTTATATATATTGATATTATAGGTAGATACAGACTGGTACAGACTGATGTGACTGGAGTGGGGTGGGGGTGTTTTATTTCCCCCACTTTTTTCCCTAGGACTTCAATAAGTCAAAGTACAGGTCTAGACTTAATGATGATCATCTTCAAGCCATACTGAGGGTCTCAACTGCTTCTGCTCTAAAGCCAAATGTGGTTCAGTTTTGTGAGAAGAAGCGCTGTCAAGTCTCTGGCAGCAAGAAGTAGGCAAAAGATGCCATGTTCAGAAGAACTGTTCATAATCTTCACTCAATGTTCTATTAATGTTCAGGACACTTCATGTTCAGAAGAAATAATTAAAACTGTTAATAATGACATTTGAGGACTTTTTTTTGTGAAATCCCTTATGCGGCCCAGCCTCACCCAGACTTTGCCTCCTGCGGCCCCCAGGTAAATTGAGTTTGAGACCCTTGGTGTAGACGGAGAGATGTTCAGAAACGCTGGGGGAAACGCTAGTATGGACGCGGATCATTTTCATTCTAAAACGCTGTTTTAAACTAAAACGCACTAGCGCAAACGAGACCTGAGAGAGATGAACAAACCTGTTTTTCTAGAATTCGTGAGATCTCCCCAAGAGTTCTGTCCAGGCCGGACACTTTGTTACTGGCCCACTGGCCACTGTCCTGCCCCTGCTGTTGCTTTACCAGGTCCTTCACCAGACGTTGGAGTCTGCAAGAAAGACACACACATGCGCATGTTTAGTTTGTTATCTATATGTGGACACTACAAAGACTCCTAATGTTTATTATATATATATATTACATATATTATTATTATATGTTTATTATATATATATATACTATAGTAAAACTATAGTAAAGCAGCTTGTCAAAAGCTGCAAACAGATCACATACAGGAATAGAGCACTCTTTAATTATCAGCTGTTAGTCAGCGCCCGCTCTTTTTTTCCCTGGTCATTGCGCCTTTGCCGTGTGCTGTGTAAATGCAGACGATCGAATAAGAGTCACTTTTAAAAGAGGATGTAAACAGGTCATCAAAAAAATTGCATACAGTCACAAAATCAGAATTGACCATCAAGATCTGCAGTGTAAATGCAGCCCAAGAACTCTATACTTCAGCCTCCACATTAAAGTTCCTAAAAGCAAAGAAGGTCAAGGTGCTCCAGGATTGGTCAGCCCAGTTACCAAACATGAACATTATTGAGCATGTCTGGGGGTAAGATGAAGGAGGCATTAAAGATGAATCCAAAGACTCTTGATGAACTCTGGGAGTCCTGCAGGAACACTTTCTTTGCCATTTCGGATGCTTTTATTAATCAGTGATTTGAGTAAGTGCAAAGATGTATGGATGCAGTCCTCCAAGCTCATGATGGAGTCAGACACAATATTCATTGTTTCTTCACTGCAGCATTACTTTATATTCTATACTGGACATCATTTTTGTAAGTGACAAAACTTTTGTCTGAGCAAAGTCAGACCTTACTGTCCTAATTAAAAATCAAGGCATGATCATATTTTATTTTGGTAATATAAGCGTAATCTAGAGGCTTTTACCTTTCACATAAGCCACTTTTGATACCAAATGATCAAGTAGAGGTCAAGTTGTGGTTACTATTTGTTGTTCCTAAAATTAGGATAGGAGACAAGACCTTTGTCAGGTAGTGTAGTATATAAATATGATATATGTTGTTGTTTTTTTGTTTTGGTTTTGTAGGGTCTGCAGCTATTATATTAAGTGTATTATCTAAGGATATACTATCAATGTGCATAAGCTCAAAACTTGATCAACCAAAACAAAAATGAAAACAATTATAAACAGTAGATTCATGAAAACACCACTTAAGACATCAGTATTGCATCTAGTCCACACTTTATAATAAGTTGTCTTAACTACTATGTACTTGCATTGAAATTAAATGCAAAGTACGTAATGTGTTTATAATGTATAGCTGAACACTTCAGGCACTGTTGAGGTGGGATACGGGTATGGTTAGGAACAGGTTTGGTGGAAAGGGTAGGTTTAAGTGTGGGAGAAATTAATTAAAGGTGTAGATACATGTAAGTATTTAATCAATCATAAGTACAATGTAAAAACATGTAGTTAAGTACATAATAGTTAAGGCCACTTAGTATGAAGCGGGACGTTGCATCTAGAGCAAAACAATACAGCTTTAATAAAGGAAACCCCTGGGGCGGGCATCATTTCTGAAGTTTAAAGCTCTGAAAGACAGCATGAAGACCTAAATACTCAGCATAACACCCCTGTTTGGGTATATGATCCTTAAAAAGCAGAGCAGGGGGGGCTTACTTGGCCTTGTACGGAGAGTCGGAGGTCTGGCTTTTGGCTTCCATGCAGGTCTCGTACTCTTTAGCCCTGAAAAAGAAAGACAAACAAGCCTGTCAGAAAAAAAAAACGGAGAGAAAAAGACAGACGGAGAGCAACAGAGGAGTCCGATGGCTGTCAGCCAGAAGACGTGAGGAGATAAGACGACGTGGCGAACAAAGAGAAGGTCGAGAGGTCAAGCTGAGCCTCCAACTGTTTATTTAGTCTTTGGGCCGCACTAGCAGCAATCACAAACTAACAAGCAGGAACGAGTCACAAACACTCCGTCTTCAGAGAGTCTCACAGCAGGGAATACCGACACACTCTTTAAGTTCAGAAACGCAAAATAAATAAGGATGATTGGCCGACGGTGTGAATTACTTCTGTGAATGTTGGAGAGTCACAGAGCAGAATAATGTTTGCTGTCAGTCAGCTTGAAACACTGGTGTGGTCCGCCGAGCGAAATTCCTGACAATCACACATCCCATTCCGTCAGATAAGGATGATCGATCAGCTCCCAGAGAAAAAAAAGGCTTGATGGATTGATGGATGTTCGGGGACTGATAAACTCAGACGTGTCTTTCCGGAAGACAACATCAGAGAGATGAGTGGTCACAAGACTTTTAATAGTTTTATCTAGGTTTGAGTTTAAAGCGCAAAGTGGTTTGAGTTTAATCCAATTGGGAAAGTTTGATTTAATCCATTTATTAATTTATTTTTTAGCTACATTTATGTAATTCTGCTTCACCCTTTATTAAAATGATAGGTCCCACTTTATATTAAGTGGCCTTAACTAATATGTACTTACACAGGAATTAATTTGTTACAATGTACTTATTGTGTAAATACATGTATTTAATGTGTACTTATGCTTGATTAAATACATGTATGTAATTACATCTGTAATTAACTTTTGTAATTACATTTGTAAATACACTGTTGACCATCCCTTACACCTTAACCCACTCTTAAACCTACCCATACCACCAAACCTGTGCATAACCCAACCTCTATCCCAACTCAAAAGCACCACAAGTGTTCTCAAATACATCATAAACACAGTAAGTACATTGTATTTATTTTTTGATGCAAGTACATAGTAGTTAAGAACACTTAATATAAAGTGGGACCAAATTATAATCCTTCCTAAAATTATTCACCCTACTGTGAATTTAGGTTTTTTTCGCAAATATTTTCAAAATGATGTTTAATGAAGCAAGATAATTTTCACAGTATTTCCTATAATATTTTTTCTTATGTAGAAAATAGTTTATTTTATTATTATTTTATTTTTTTAGCAAAACAGCAGTTTCACATTTTTTTAAACCATTAAGGTCAATATTATTAGCCCCTTTAAGCTAGATATTTTTTCAGTTGGCTACAGAACAAACCATCATTACACTTTAACCTAATTAAGCCTTGAAATGCCACTTTATTCTGAATATTAATAATAATAGAAATGAGTTATTAAAACTATTATGATTAGAATCTTCTCCTTGTTAAACAGAAATTGAGGGTAAAAATATACAAGAGGGCTGATAATTCAACCGTGCATATATATATATAATAAGTCAGAATTATTTGCCCCCCTTTGAAATTTTCTTTCTTTTTTTAAATATTTCCCAAATGATGTTTAACAGAGAAAGGAAATTTTCACAGTATGTCTGATAATATTTTGTCTTCTGGAGAAAGTCTTATTTGTTTTATTTCAGCTGGAATAAAAGCCATTTAAAAGTTTTTAACTAAAAGTTTTCCATTTTTTAAAAAACATTTTCAGGTCAATATTATTAGCCCCTAAAGCTATTTTTTTTTTCGATAGTCTACAGAACAAACCATAATTATACAATAACTTGCCTAATTACCCTAACCTGCCTAGTTCACCTAATTAACCTAGTTAAGCCTTTAAATGTCACTTTAAGCTGTATAGAAGTGTCTTAAAAAATATCTAGTCAAATATTATTTACTGTCATCATGACAAAGATAAAATAAATCAGGTATTAGAGATGAGTTATTAAACTATTATGTTTAGAAATGTGTTGAAAAATCTGCTCTCAGTTACACAGAAATTGGGGAAAAAAATAAACAGGGGGCTAGTAATTCAGGGGGGCTAATAATTCTGACTTCAACAGAGCTAAACAAGAGTTTTTTCTAAATAAACTGATGATTGTGCTGTTTATTTCAATTTGAAAAGAAAAGGAAAACAAAACGCTGTATTTCTTTTGCTTTTATATCCTTGTTTGTTGTACTGAAGTAAATTTTGGAAAGGAAATTTTGTACCAAATTGGTTATGTTTATTATTTATATTAATTGGTATCAGGTTATGGGTTTCTTTTCGGAATTAAAATACAAATTAAGAGCGATCTAATTTATAAGAACCCAGGGCCCTTCTCTCGCCATAGAAAAAGGGCGCTACACTAGGATGCTACCAAAAGTGGTGTAAGTGAGGGCAGCAGGGGGCGCTCAACCTGCAGTTTGTGTGGGTCCTAACGCCCCAGTATATTGATGGGGACTCTATACTGCTCAGTGAGTGCCGTCTTTCGAATGAGACTTTAAACCAAGGTCCCTGACCAAGGCTCTCTGTGGTCATTGAAAAATCTTGGTAGTCCTTCGAAAAAGAGTAGGGGTTTACCCTGGCATCCTGGCCAAATTTGCCTATAGGCCTCTGTCCATCATGGCCTCCTAACCATCCCCATATCATAAATGGCTCCTCTCCACCAATCAGCTGGTGTGTGGTGACCTGCCCTAACCCTTGACTATTAAGATACCTGACAGTAAATTCAAGATAAATGCAATTGTGTCTGACTTCACTGGGGTGACTGTAGAAAAGCATTCAGTAAGACCTTTAAAGACTGCTGTTCTGTTCTGAAGCAAGAGAACAATCCCAGCCCATGAGGAGAATGAAGAAATACCTGGCCTCGTCCTCATCCTCGAGATTACAATATTCCTCTCTGACAGCTTTACGCCTATACGGGTTAAACAGAGGGGCAATCGCCGGACCATCAATCTTCAAACGCGGCAGGCCCCATTAAACAGGCCGGGCACCATAAATATTAGTAACCAGCTATAAGTGGGGGGGCAGCTACAAAGCTACAATGCAGAGCTAATCATCAATTCATCACGATGTGCCCCACTATTCACCTCCGCCCACGCTGGACGCAGACGTCCCCCTCCCCCAATTGACTGTAAAACCGTCAATGCCTTCAGATGAATAAAAAAAGAAAACAAATACAGTGTATCCCTTTTAAATGTGCAATGGGAGGCTCAAGCGTTCGGCACTCCCAATCACAGAGAACATTCGGTCGGGCAGCGTTGCGATATTTAATATTGGATTCGAGAGGCTCTCAATCAAGCGGAAGACAATTTGACTGATGATGAATAAAAGGACGAGGAAAAAGGGAGGGAAAAAAATGTGACCTGTGGAACGTATCCGCCGAGAGGCATGAAGCTGGATCCGTCTATAAATTCAACCAACGTATTTAAGGGTTTATATGCGGAATAAATATTGGATAGATCATGAGATGAAACAGATTTACATGCACCTGATGGTAAATAAAGGTCTGAGGTAACCAAGTCCAAGTGCCTTTAACTTTAAACTATGGGAGCTGCAGTCTAGACACCACAGCACGTCACGCACATTGGCCATGGCCCAAATGCTACTTCTGATGTGAAGATGTCTACAGGACTACACTTGCAAGTATCCAAAACACTGTAGAATCTTCTATGTGTCTTTTTTACTCAGAATAGTGTCCGCAAACTGCCTCAATGTGGCCACTACATTTCCTTTAGCAGAGGTTGCAGTAATACAGTGGATCATAGTGGACTCAGAGGATTGCAGACTTGTGGCTAAGATCCATGGTTCTCAATCCTGGTCATCATAACCTCTCGCTTTGAAAATTTTGTATGTCTCTCTTACGGCTTTAGAGATTTGATCCATTTGACCGTAAGTGCCCTCATCACAGGATATTCTGCCATGATTCTGGTTCGAAAGAAGCAAATTCAGTTGAAAAGGTATTAAAGTGCTGGAAAGACCACGAGTAGACCTCAGAGTCTTAACTTTATATCCCCTTTGAAATTACGTTTATTCCCTTCTGGTCACATGGAATACTTTTAGGGAGAAGCTATAGGTCATTTAAGGCGGGGCTATCAATACATGTCTTGTTTTCTGCTCTGCCTTAGTTCAGTCATTCGTCAATTTTTATCATTTCGTTAGCAACATCCATCCAACAATCCAATCAGTTCCAAAAGGACGAGATCCTGCAACGCCCTACATTATTTTATAATTTCAGGAAGTGAATGTACGTCAGGGCTACTCACGGGCTGAACTTGGCCCCCGAGGCAATTTGTTTCATCCCTCCAAATAGTGTGACCAAGACATCAAAAACAAATTTAGTTCAGTCAAAAAACGGTCGCTATAGTTATGAAGTGGCGTGCGTCTGTTCAATACAGCACAAGATGCAATTAAAGGCTGCGCAGAGCGGGAGTCCCCTGACATCAAGCGAGTGGCGTGAGCAGCCGAAAATATTTGGATACTTAATCATAAAGGCTTCTCAACGCTGCGTTTCTGTTTGCATGGAACGAAACTGTGCAACTAAAAGTTATGCTACCTGTGTGCTAGTTTAAATTTCCAAGCGTATACACCAAGGCTAATACGCACGAACACTGGATTAATAGTAGCGGGCCATTCACATATTGCGTCTTTTCTACGCGCAAGTTCGTTATTTGTAAGAATGTATTTAAGAATATATGCCAACATGCGCACGCAAACAAAGTGCCTTTCAGTTGTACTCAGTAGAAAACATCTCACGTCATAGGGATTAGAGTTGTGCGTGGCTTTCAGTGCATTTTAAACAAAGTATATGTTAGACAAATTATTAAAATGATTATGTATCTATGAACGCAGATGATAACAACAGTTCATTCAAATGGCTACTAACTTAAATTTACATTAAACAAGATAACCGTGAAACCATGATTATTCTTCAGACTATAATCGTACAACCATAATACAATTGCAACTTATTTTAGGGCAATATTTTATTCACACTATGCTATCTGAACCGTGACCAGGCATGAAAATCAAGAATGATTAATAAATCCATATGAAACAGTCCCTTAAAAGTCACATCTCATCTTCAGTTTCAGGCTCAGGCGCGCTTGGCACTCACACTACAAGCGTGCCGCGCCAAAGCCCAAGTGAACCGCGCTCTAGCACACCTCTTCCAACCGGGCCAGGGCCAGCCAAGTGAACCGCGCCTGAGCCCGATTCAGAGCACTCACACTGCTCAAACGATCCAGGAAACGGGCCTGGGCACAAATTAAGCCCTGGTTAAAGCGAACCGCATCACGAACAAAGAGCAACATTGTAACAATTTGAATCCCTGTTTCGAAACAATACAATCGACCTACAGGTGTGAAAGCACCTTAAAACTCTGTGCCGAAACAAATTCTTCTCTATATGTAAATGCGTTAAATATTATAAAGCAATTTATATTTAGCTATAAGCAAATAAAAAAAGGAAATTTTATGCCTAACCATATGAAGGATTGAAGCTGGTACCTTTGGGACCCAACCACCGGTGCTAATTTACTCAAGATGAATGGGTTGAAACAGCCTGATCTCATGAGAAAATGTAAGTATTTTACATTTTGCCAGTTTAGTGGCTGATTCGTACAAATTCGTACGAGTTCAGTCGTACGGAATTGTACGATTTGGCACCTAACCCCACCCCTAAACCCAACCGTCATTGGGGGATGAGTAAGTCGTACTAAATTGTACGAATTTGATTGTACGAATTCATACGAATTAGCCACTAAATCAAAAATTTACGAATTGCCGTGAGATTGTGTTGGTTGAACAGGAAAAAATAAACAACACACACAACTACCATGTGCTCAGGTTTACTGTAGTCCTTACTACTAGATTCATAGCAGTTTCGTTGCCTCCTATTCCCTACGTTCATGAACAGGGGGTCTTTTGTGTGCCACCCTATCTGAGGTAGGCCAGCATACTAAACTCTCTGTCTCCAAGCCTGAGAAAAGACAAACAATGCATCCGGCCAAGCTACTAGAGGACGGGCCATCAGAAAAAGAGAAGGAAAGAGTTAAGAAACTCAGAGTTTAAAGCCAATGCTGACACGGGCGGACATGCTACTTTCATGGTAATTAAAACCACAAGTTTTCACCTGAAGAACAAGTCATATATTTGAAGAATAAATCAAGGTCCAGGTAAGGAAATTAAAGAGTCTTTTTTCCACGCCACGGCTATGGCAGGGCCTGAACAGGCTTAACAATGACATCGGGGGACAGGGCAACCTGGGAGGGCTGAGAAAAGCTCTCTAGCGCTTTACAAACGCCACACTGTGCTCCTATAAAACGGCTCATTTCCACCCCGCGGTGGAGCCGCCAACCTCAGCAGGCCAGGGCTGTGGGCGGCCGTGATTTATGAGCATGTAGCGCCTGTTCTCTCCCTTTCATTCTTTCCTCCTGGCCGCGTGAGTGTTGCAGGGCTCAGCGCAGGAGTGACAGAGAACAGAGGAGGCTCATGTTGTCACTCTCGCAGCCAAAGCTCGGAGCTGTTTTCTGCCCTCTGCGCTACCTCTGCATTAATGAGCACAGAAGCAGCGCAGACTACCGGTCTCCTTTACACTGCAACTTAAGAGACTCTCAGCAGACATCACATAGAGGAAGAGAGTCTACTAATTACTGTAAGGTCAAGATCGGGAATGTAGCAATTAAAACAGCTAACAAACAACATGCTAATTTGATACCATATAGGTAACACTTTAGTTTAGGTCATGATTCATGGTATTACCAAACCGTTAACTAACATTACTGGCTTAATAACTTGTAATTAGCTGTTTTATTAACTGTTATTAAAAAGGTAACGTTTAAAGCCTACTTCCAACACTGACACAGGCGGACATGCTACTTTCATGCTAACAAACAACATGCTAATTTGATACCAAATAGGTAACACATTAGTTTAGGTCATGATTCATGGTTTTAACAAACCATTAACTAACACCACTAGCTTAATAAACAACTAATTAGCTGTTTATTAATAGTAAAGTTGGAAGTGTAAAGCTCACGTCTAATGCTGACACAGGTGGACATGCTACTTGCATGCTAAAAAAACCAACATGCTAATTTGATATTAACGTGGGAACACTTTAGTTTAGGTCACAACTCGTGGTATAAACAAACCATTAAATAACATTACTAGCTCAATAAAGTACTAATTAGCTGTTTTTTAATACTTAGTAAAGTTAGAAGTTTAAAACCCACATCTAATACTGACATGGGTGGACATGCTACTTGCATGCTAACATACAACATGCTAATTTGACACATCAAATATGTAACACTTTAGTTTGGGTCACAATTCATCTAATTAACATACCATTAACTAACATCAGTGGCTTAATAAACTACTAGTTAACTGTTTAGTATTAGTTAGCAAAGTTAGAAGTTTAAAGCCCACAGCTAACACTGACATGGGCAGACAAGCTACTTTCATGCTAACAAACAACATGCTAATTTGATACCAAATAGGTAACACTTTAGTTTAGGTCATGATTCGTGGTATTAACAACAACTAACTAAGATCACTAGCTTAATAAACTACTAATTATCTGTTTATTAATAGTCAGTAAAGTTAGAAGTTAAAAGCCCACATCTAATCCTGACATGGGTGGACATGCTACTTCCATGCTAACAAACAACATGCTAATTTGATACCAAATAGGTAACACTTTAGTTTAGGTCATGATTCGTGGTATTAACAACAACTAACTAACATTACTAGCTTAATAAACTACTAATTATCTGTTAATTAATAGTTATTAAAGTTAGAAGTTTAAAGCCCACATCTAATCCTGACAGGGGTGGACATGCTACCTCCATGCTAACAAACAATATGCTAATTTTATACCTAATAGGTAACACTTTAGTTTAGGTCACAATTTTTGGTAATAACAAACCACTAACTAACATTACTAGCTTTATAAACTATTAATTAGCTGTTTGCTAATAGTTATTAAGTAAGACCTTGGGTTTAGGTTTTGGGTAGGACTGGGAACGCAGAATAAGAACATATTTTGAACTGCTAATGTATTAAAAATAGACAGGTAATAAGCGGTGTGGTCTTCTGCTGCTGTAGCTCATCTGCCTCAAGGTTGGACGTGTTGTGTGTTCAGAAATGCTCTTCTGCAGATCTCGGTTGTAACGAGTGCTTATTTGAGTTGAGTTATTGAGTTGCCTTTTTATCAGCTGGAACCAGTCTGGCCATTCTCCTCTGACCTTTGGCTTCAACAAGACATTTGTGCCCACAGAACTGCCGCTCACTGGATATTTTCTCTTTTTCAGACCATCCTCTGTAAACCCTAGAGATGGTTGTGCATGAAAATCCCAGTAGATTAGCAGTTTCTGAAATACTCAGACCAGCCCGTCTGGCACCAACAATCAAGCCACATTCAAAGTCCCTTAAATCCCCTTTCTTCCCCATTCTGATCCTCGGTTTGAGCTGCAGCACATCGTCTTGATCACGTCTACATGCCTAAATGCATTGAGTTTCTGCGATGTGATTGGCTGATTAGAAATTTGCGTTGCAGTTGGAGAGGTGTACCTAATAAAATGGCCAGTAAGTGTAGTGATTAAATTCATGAACAAGAAATACTTTATTTTAAGGTGTCATTACATATGTTCCATGTAGTTACAATAAATTATGCATAATTATATGCAAGTAAAAGCTAATTCTAACCTGCATTTTAACTCCTAATATAGTAAGTACTTGTGATTAACTAATATCACTCGGTATTTAAACGAATAGGCGACGCAGTGGCGCAGTAGGTAGTGCTGTCGCCTCAGATCAGGAAAGTCGCTGGTTCGAGCCTCAGCTGGGTCAGTTGGCGTTTCTGTGTGGAGTTTGTATGTTCTCCCTGCGTTCGTGTGGGTTTCCTCCAGGTGCTCGGGTTTCCCTCACAGTCCAAACACATGCGGTACAGGTGAATTAGGTAGGCTAAATTGTCCAAAGTGAATGAGTGTGTTTGGATGTTTCCCGGAGATGGGTAGCAGCTGGAAGGGCATCCACTGTGTAAAACATATGTTGGATAAGTTGGCGGTTCATTCCGCTGTGGCGACCCCAGATTAACAAAATTAACAAAAATTAATGAACGAATTAATTTAAACGAATAGATACACCTTTAAATAAAATATAACAAACTTGCTGTAATTAATTTGCTGTAAATTCAAAGTCAGTAAATTTGCGAATGTATGCGTCCATCACAAATTCTGTGGTATTTCAGGACTAAATATAGGAATAAAACCCTCTCTAAAGCTTACTTACTAACTAACAAACAACCATCCCGCAGTAACACTCAGACCAAGACACACACACACACACAAACAGTTGTGACAGCAGGCACAATTGATAGCGCCCAGGTCTAGGATCTGACACGGAGACGCGTTCGCTCCTATTTGTTGATTACTATTGATTTTCTTTGATACTTCATTTAAAAATCAATAGTTGGAAGAGAGAAAAACAGGCATGCTTTACACATACTTTAACATACTATTGTACACTGGAGAAGCCTTCGGTTTTGGCAGAGCGGTGGCAACCAATTAGGAGAAAAGCTCTTAACAGGTGAAAGTGAGGAGGGGGTAACAGATCGATTCTCACTTTTTCCTCCCCAATCACAGAGAGTGGCCATAAATTAAGCTCATCAGTGTTGCTGTGCGGACAGCCGGGATGCACATCGCCACTGCTCTCCATCTCCTTGTCACTCATAAAGCTCTCACAAGCAGCAACACCACCATTCAGGCAGACCGAGAGAGAGAGAGAGAGAGAGAGAGAGAGAGACATACTGTAAAGAGGGAGAGAGTTTGATCACTTCACCTTGAGTTCATGCGTGCACGCAGTTTCTTGGCCTTCTTCCGAGCTTTCTGCCTCTCTTCTCCATCTTTTGCATTGTCGGAGGACACAATACTGTCGGTGACGATGTCTACGATGTACTTTTTTTGAGAGAGATGTTCCTGGAGGAGAAAAGAAAGAAACATAAATGGCATACTCTGAAATATCTTTTGTAGATCTCATTCAATCATTCATTTTCTTTTTCGGCTTATTTCCTTTATTAATCTGGGGTTGCCACAGTAGAATGAACCACTAACTTATCCAGCACGTTTTACACAGCGGATACCCTTCCAGCAGCAACCCACCTCTGAGAAACTTTTATAGATGTTTAATAAGAAATTTGTTCATCGCTTCTGTAATGATTTGGGGGTGACAACGATGGGAAGTAACGAAGTACAAATACAAATACAAATATTGAAGTACTTAAGTAGATTTTTCTAGTATCAGTTTTAGGGTCGTCGTGACACCTTTAATTCTTCTTACGATTCTATATCATGATAGTAGTATCATGATACCAAGTCGCATTGCGATACTGTAACTCATAACTCAAATTATAAAGAAAATTGTCAAAAATACGATATTTTATGTTGTAATACCAACTGAATTTCATGGTTTCCGCTACATTCATTCTTCCATGGTGGGAAAAATTCCATGGCCACACCAAAGTTCATCCCGCCACGGCTACATTACAGCTTCTCATGCAAAACATTCAGTCGATGTTTTTTTTAATAGCGGTTTATAATCTCACTAAATCGTATTAAAGGGTAAGTGAATCACAACAGCGCAAACTTTTCAGTAACCGGTGTAGTGCTGTGCGTTATTAACGTGAATGAGACAGGGAATCAGCGATGTAATCATGACTGATATCGGGCTCTATTTTAATTTTATCTTGGGGCAAAGTCCAAAGCACAGGGCGCAAAAGCATTAAGAGCCTGTCAGAATCTACTTTTGCTATTTTAAGGACGGAAAAATCTGCTTTGCGCGCATGGTCTAACAGGGTTTAGCTTATAAAGAATTTCATGTATGTTGTGAGAATAAACCAATCACTCTCATCTCCCATTCCCTTTAAGAGTCAGTTGCGTTGTGCCATATCGCATTTGCTATTTACATGGTGGACTTTGTTAGTGGAAAAACTGAACAGTTCACTAGAGAGAAAACATTAAAACAGAGCATCTGCAGCAAGAGGATAAAGAATGAGCCTCCTCATTCTTTACTTTCACTCTCTTTCGTGGATAAGGAAAGTGTTGTACGCACAGACATCCATTAGCCTACATAACAAATATTGTTTGTTAAGCACAAAGATGGCTTTTAAAACCATTTCTAAATTTTGTTTTAATTTCCAGCAAACTAATAAATGAACAATAATAACGAAGTGTGCTCAAAAAACTCAAAAAACTGAGTTATATACTAATACATATGCTGTGCCCCATATGGTCTAAAACCTGACAGGTGGACAAATCTAAGCTTGCTTTTAATAAAACATATAAATATGGATATAAAAAATAATACTGCTAATAATGATAACATTATAAAAAAGCAGAATGTCATGAATAAACTGATAAAAAAAACTGAGATGAAAAAGGCATGGAGGCAGTGGTTTTTATATTTATGTAGAAAGTAATGATCTTTATAATATTTGAATCCTTTTATTCTTTTTAATTTGTAAAGATATTAGCGTATTGCTGTTCATCCTGTGTGTATTAAGCAATGTTTAAGCGAGGCGCACAACTAACGTGCTCTGCGCTGGACTTTAGCCCTGCTTTCAGCTGGTCTATTGTGCGGTCCATTTTACTTCCTCAAAATAGCAACGCGCCAACAATGCTCTTTAACACACCTCTTATCTAGACTAAAACACCCTTGAGTCCACAAAGTGGTGCAAATGGATTTGCTACTTAAACAATAGGACAGAAAACTGAAAAAAAAATGTTTAGAAATGTTTAAAAAACTCTTCAGGGGGGCTAAAAATTCAGGATTTACTTCAAGAGCATTTTTGGACTCAACCATTAAGTTTTAAACCAATGAAACAAAGATAAGATGGCCTGTTGAGAATGATAAGGATCCTTAAACTAGCCTTTATTTTAGCCAAAAATATACATCAGATTCTTTACAACTCCACAGGGAGACTCTCAGTTCAAAGCCATTGTGCCGGTAGAAAAGTCCTTCGGGACAATGGAAGACGACATATGGGTGTGTAGAGAAGAGAAAAGATCAAACATCAACATGTCAATTCCACAGGACTTCTTCCCCGCCGAGCACATGTCCAAAAAGGCTGGGCTAAATCTCCTGCACTCTTTTCCATTGAAAGCCCAGGTGTTAAGCTCTTTGTGTGGCATATAGAGACCCCCGGTCCAGGCATTGTGCTCTGCAATTACAATGGCATCTCCTCCGCTCGCTGCTGGCAATAAGGCGGCGGAAGTGCCAAGGGGAGGGAGAGAGGTATAGCTTTCCGTCTCTTTCTGATGATGCCGATATTTCCATGGGAAGAAAGACGGATGTAACTCAATTTGGGACGACGTGATGCATGCGCCAGAAAGCAATTATCCAATTATCCTGTCATCCGGCACCTCGGAGGATGGGAGCAGCGGGTGAGAGAGATAAGAGTTCGATACCGCAAGAGGCCCAATGCAAACGGAGGCCAAAAATGTACCAGGGGCTCTTCAGAAATGTGGCTACGCAACAGTGGATAAGGCAAAAACAGGTCCTGGTAGGTCTGGGCGACATGGCAAAAATCTCGATCATTCTTTTTCATATTGAACGATAAACATATACAGGTGAAGTCAGAATTATTCGCCCCCTTTTTATTTCATTTTAAATATTTCCCAAATAATGTTTAACAGAGCAAGGAAATTTTCACAGCATGTCTAATAGTATTTTTTTCTTCTGGAGAAAGTCTTGTTTGGTTTATTTTGGCTAGAATAAAAGAAGTTTTATTTTTTTGGAAACCAATTAAGGGTCAATATTATTAGCCCCCTTAAGCAATATTTGAGTCCTGATGCAAAAACCTCTAAGTGTTATCTAGAATTGTCGTCTACAATGATCATATTTCTTAGCCTGTTATGCTTATGTTCAGTTATTTCATGTTAAAATCGATAAAAAATTATAAGATTATTTAAAAAAATTATAAGATAATTAATAAAATTTATAGATTAAGCAGGGCTCATTAATAGGGACTGCCCGATGGCCCGGGGCCAGCATGAGATGCTCGAGACAGTTGACAGAATCGTTACTGGCCGGATGGGGCAGTGCTGCCTTGTCACTAAATTTTAATAGATGGCAACATAACTGCAACATCAAAGTAAGAGGCTAAAAGAAAACATCTGCATCTAACAGTGTGGAAACTTGTACATGAGTACAACACGGTGAAAATAAAATGAAGTGATGTGTTGCTTAGTTTGCTGTTACTTTTAAGTCAGCCACCTTTTGTTTTAAAATACCTGCACATTTTCCACACTCTATATTTTACTGCAAAAAAATTTACACTTTAAAAATTGAAAAATTCTAGATTCACAGACATCATTTTGGACACATTATTCAATAAATGTGGCTAAGAAATAGCGGTAACACTTTACAATAAGGTTCATTAGTTAATGTATTTACTAACATGAACTAATCATGAACAACACTTGTACAGTATTTATTAATCATAATTGAACATTTACTAATGCATTATTAACATCCAAGTCCATGGTTGTTAACATTAGTTAATGCACCCTGAGTTAACATGAACTAACAATGAACTACTGTATTTTCATTAACTAACATGAACAAATACAGTAGTAAATGTATTGTTCATTGTTTGTTCATGTTAGTAAATGCATTAATTAACATTAACTAATGAACCTTATTGTAAAGTGTGACCCAAATAGCAATTAATTAATACATTTTTTTTTTTGGTGGGGCCAGTGAAATTTTAGCAGGGCAAGTAAAAATCTGAACCACTGGTCCAATCGGGCCAGTAGGAAAAATCCTAAGAACCCTTTTAAGAATTTAAAGGTGCTTTCATACCAGTGAATCTATTCAGTTGTTCTGAAGTATGGATTAAAATTGTTACATTGTTGCTCTTTGCTCTTAAAGTAAAGTTTAACACGGCAAAGTTTCCAAAAGAGCTAAAACAAGTCATGTGTGAGTAAACTCTCCTCACATTGGTCAGTTTCATGGTTTATTTTTCAGAGTCTCGCTCAGCTGTCGGGGGTGTAGTGGTTTGGTGCTGTTTGACAGGGTGCGTGCGACGTGTCTGAAGAGCGAGGACGGATTTGGTGGGGAAGGGTGAGAAGGGTGCGCAACGTATTTGAGGACCGGGAGAGAGATGTGTGATTTTCAGGAGATTATCACTCATTTGCAGGCACCCGGGAGTCTTTGTGCATATGCGGGAGACTTGGGATGTCTGGAATAACCTCCCGCCCTACTCATAATTCTCTCTTTATATAGCCGTATGTCTTTTACATATCCATAAAACACTGTGATATGACCGGGCTCAGATCGTATCGCTTTCTCACTACAATCGATCCGTTCCAGAGTTTGTTTCAATCGAGCCGAGACCACCTCATTCAGGCAATCTTATAGCGATTGTTTTGGAGCGGATCAGAGCGCAATTGGTGGTTTCACATATGCCAAACGAGCCACGCTAACAGGGCAAACGAGACAGGCTCCAAAACAAAAGTGTAGGGGAAAAAGCACCCTAAGACTGAATGAATAAAGCACGCTGTTTTCCACCAAGGCAACCCGGAGTGCTGAAATATGATTGGCTAAACTGGCACTGGGCGGGTTAAATGACCAAAACAAAGACAGCATTCAGGCACAGAAAACACATTATCAAAGCACAATATCTGACTTCAGCAGTGTTTTTCAAATAAACAAGAATGCTAGCCTGTTTCTTAAATATCTGCAAACATATTTAGGGACCGTTCAGCAATGGTGCGTAGGCTCTATTGGAATTGCTCTGTTTTTTATTATTATTCCGCCCCTAATCGGGGAACTTTTGAGGGTCTAAACATGCTTGAAAACTCATGACACTTTGCACACACACCAAACGCGGTGTAGATAATCAGTTGATATGGGTTTCGGAAGTAGGCGTGGCAAAATGACTCAACAGCGCCACCTATAAACATTAGACGGACTCGCC